TGGACTGCAATAACTAGAAATTTAAATGCCTCAGTTAATTCCCACAAGAGAAATGAGAGTTACTGTTTAACAGCTTTTGGGAACTTAATAATATTCTTAAACCACACTTTTAATGTGAAAATGCAAAACTTATCATTAAAAAACATTGAACCAACACAGAGAGTTTTATCCAGGCAAAAGTTCTCATTTGCCTACTTTTTACACCTTAAAGGTATTGCTATCAGAACTTGCAAATCTTTCTTTTTAAAAATTCTGGACATTAGCCAACAATGAATTTTATACTTTTTTAAAATCATTTCCAAACGAATAAAAATACAGATTTATAATATAAAGTGCTGGCTATTAACCCATGCATTTAAAAAATATATGCAAGTCCGTCGTACCACAGGGCTACTAGGGACTTATAAAATATTTTTCTTTGTTGTAAGGAAACTCGCAGAAGACTGAAATAGTCTTTTCATCGATAACCTTTAAAACATAAAATAAACTTTAATGAACTAGTTCAACAAATACACATAAGTATTTTGGTATCTATTATATAGTAGAAGGAGTAGGGCTTTTTATTATTACTATTTTTCCCAAATTGTTTAATACATTTCGCTGAAGTTGGTTAAGTTAATTATGATATGTTTTAGTTTTTTTTCAGAGCAATAAGGTTATCCATTTTATTAAATTCCATATTTTGAAGTATTATTTTGTTATGTAAGTATGGGCCACGGTATATTAAAAAAAATCGCGAGATTTTTTTTTTTTTAAAGGCAAGGTAAAGTTGCCTGTTCCTCGTGTGATATATTTGTTTGCGTTGATATGAAAAAAGCTATCAGTAAAGTATTTCGGAACAAGTCCGAGTTTGTATTTTAGCATCAATAAGATATTTTGGTAAATATTTATTTGATAGATATTTAATGCATTCAAATTTTTAAGTAAAGGGTCGGTATGAGTGAATTTATCTTTATTATAAATTAATCTTGATGCATGTTTCTGATGTATGTAGAGTGAATTTAATTTAGTTTTATGGGTACTTCCCCATGCAATATTAGCGTATGTTAGGTAACTTTGAATATAAGAAAATTGGCTTTGTAGAGTACCCCGATACTTTTTGATATTTTAATGTTTATTGTATTAATATGGGCTTTCCAATTAATATTCTGGTCAATAATTATTCCAAGAAACTTAGTTATTTCAGTTCTTTTGATGTTTATGTTATCAATTTTTAGTGAAGGTAGAGTGCCTGGTATAAAGTTTTTAAGACGGTTGGAATGAAACAAGATATATTTTGTTTTTTCTGTATTCAAAGAAAATTTATTTCCTATAAACCAGATGTTGAGGTTTTCGAGGTCAGTGTTAATAGATTCGTAAAGGTTGCTTATAGACGGCGATGAGTAAAATAAATTTGTATCATCAGCGAACATTATTACATCAAGTTTTTTTAGGGCTTTTGGGAGATCGTTGATATATATTAGAAATAAAAGGGGACCCAGAATGGAACCTTGGGGAACTCCGCATTTTATTTCTAGTAGGTCTGAGTATTTATTGTGATCTGTAACAACGCATTGTTTTCTGCTACACATGTAACTTTTGAACCAGTCAAGGAATATATTTTTACACATACCCAAGAAAACAAGGCAAACATGCAAAAAAGAAAATTTCTGATGCAATCAAATATGGTATCAGAGAAAAAAATAAATAGTAATCCTGTAATAAACTAACGCTATTGCGATACAGAAAGAAAATACTTTGAATTTGAATTGTCTATTTGAGGACTGTATTAGCTCTACCAAGAATTTTGTCAGTAAAAGATACTTCAACCAGTTAAAAAGCATTTAAGTTCTGAGATTTTTCTAAACGTGTTCCGACAAAGAAAGAAAGGTGTAACAAATGTGAAATTTTTAAAACCAAAAGTGTTAAAGTTACCTCAAGCAGTTGTAAGCGAATTTAACATTTAAATCATATTGAACAAAAAAAAGATGCTAGTGAACATTTAAATGATGCTCGTGAACATTTAAATGATGCTTGTGAGATGCGCAAAAAAGACAAAGATTTCAAACATCTTAATTTTTGTTTTGATTTACAAAATGTTTTAACATTGCCCAAAGCTGATATCTCAAACTTATTTTATCTTAGGAGCTGTCTGTTTATAATTTTATAGGACATATTTCTATGGATAAAAGTGTTTGAGCACTGCAATAAAGTATTTTTTAAAAACACACCCATATGTCAAGTCTACTATTTCAAAATTTTTGAAAGCAAATATGACTGTGTTCAAGAAGATGGTGCAGTGCATAAGCAGCATCAATCAAAAAAAAAACAAAGGGTTCCGCTGGGTTTGATAAGAATATTATCTGTTAGGTGCCACAAACGTTTTAAATATCCGGCAGATGAAAGGTATTGATATTTTAAATATTCAACCTCCAACTAAAAGGCACAACTTTATCAAAATGCCTTTTATTCAAGTAAAGCAATCAAAATACACTACCCATCATCCGTTTACTGTTTCATTCATAACAAAGGTAACTTAACCTCAGTTTAGATAAATATTATTTTAAAAATGAGAATTCCGCAGCCTATCCTGTTGCTCCAAAACAGTCTAATCAGAACATTAAAAATCAAGAAAATATAAAAAAAAAAAGATTTCCAACATGTCTGAGATTGATTAAAATTCTAAGAAAACCTTTTATGTTTAGTTGTACGATAAGCCCTTTTCTTATACAAGTTGGTTTCTTAATATAAATATTTTATGTAAACAAACTGTTATTTTTGTTTACATGAAACATTTATTTAAACTCAATCAAATAAAGTCTGAAAAACGTTTTACTTTAGACATTATTTACGTTTTACGTTTAATAAATTCACAACACGCACAAAGAGATATTGATGTTTACGAAGATGCGAATTAATTAAAAAAAAAAGTTAATAAAATAATAAGACATAAAACATACAACTTTTTGCATTTCGCAAAATTTGTTTGAATTTTGCTCCATTTCAAAATTGAAAAATCATTATTTAAACACAAAATACAGAACAATTTTTTTAAAATTGTTTAAAATTATTATTTATTGACCTTAATGATTTTGTTTAAACAAAATTTGGTGCAAATCTATTTTGAACATTTTGTAGTCTGAAATTTTAATTGCGTGTTTCTGAAAACTATACTTTAATGACAAATTTATATTGAAGGGTAAAATAAAGCCTAAGTCTTGAATATTTTTTAACATTTTTGTTATTGGCAGGAAAATTTTATTACAAAGAAAAAATATACGTGTTAAAATTCAAATAGTAATTAATAATTTTACATAAAGTCTTTTTGTGCGCTTGATTTTTTAAACATTTATTACACTGCAATTGAGGATTTGTTGAGACTTCTATATCACTACTGTAAGGCCATAAAAATGTATAAAATTTCTAGTTTTTTAATAAATAAACTATTATGACTGAGAAAAGCAAGAAGGTTAGTCAAAACAATTAAAACAAAAACTAACTTTTATAGTTAGTTTCATGGTTTCTTGTTTGTTTTTTGTATTATGTAAGGTTTCTTGCTTGTTTTTTGTTATACGTCTATTCTTATTTTTTGTTTCTAAACTGATGAAAAGGCTAAAAGAGCATAGTTTGTTATGAGCATAACTTAAATTTAAAACATATAGAGCGTGACTGAAGCATTTTTTAACTATTATTTCAAAGCAGCATAAGTCTTAGAATAAAAGAAGTTAAAAACGTAATTTTTTCTAGTAGGAGTTGGTGAGAATAGATTGAAGTGGTTTTAAATGGCAGTAACGAAATCTGAATGAAACACTACTTTATTATCATAGACAAGTCTAAAATGTGCTCGAAAGAAAGGTTTTCTGCTTACAATTTTAAGAGAAAAAGCTTGATTTTCTAACTAGTTTTCCAACCATGACTGTTTAAATCATTATTGTTGGAGCCAAATCCTTGTGTAATATTTATCCTTTAGATAGACAATTTTATAATGAAATTATACAGTTTTATAAGTTCTTGACAAATAAGGAAATATATCAGCACTAGGACGTTTGCAAGGAAGTCGTAGGAATAAATTGGAATCAGTTTTTCCAAAGAATGTTGATAATTTTTGCATCCGGCCCCCAAGACCCTTAATCCGGCCTTGTATATACTATATTTAATTATATTCAGAATATAAGTAATATAAAAAAATTAAGTATAAATTTGTTAAAACAAATTAATTTGTTCTAACAAATTTATACTTGATTTTTTAAGTAAAAAAAATTATTTATAATACTACATAATTTTAACTTATTTGTTAAAATATTTATAAATTGTATGTTTGACAAAAAATAAATCTTGTCGTAGGAAAAAGAATTTTCAATTGTCTTGTTGTTTTCAAAAATGTTGATTTCTAAAAAGTTGTTTTTTAAAAGTTGATTTCTATAATGTCTTTTTTACCACGTTTAGTTGTATATTACAAAAAATTTAAAGTTTTATAAAAAGATATTGTGAAAAACAACAACAAAAAAAAACTAGTCAAAAGGAAAACAAATTTTAACAATTCAATTCCTTTTTCTATGTTCTTGCAAAAAATAAATACTAGCAAAAAGCCATATAATAAAATAATTCGAGAAAATAAAAGATATAGACGTGAAATCCAAAAAAAAAAAAAAAAAAAAAAACACGAAACAAACACGAGAAAAAAAACAAGAAAAAAATACCGCGTTTATGCTTTTACACTTCAGATAAAAAATAAAAAATTGAAGTAAAAAATAAGCAAAACTTATAGATTTTTCAGAAAGATTTATGAGAACTTTTGAATTTTATACAGACTTATACTTGCATTTAATTGATTTCATTTTAAAAAAACAGTAAGATATAAATGAAGGGAATAATAAAAATATATTGACGAATATTTACAAAAATGAACACATGTGGAAAAAAAATTGTATTTAACGTCACTGTGTTTTACGCGCGCATATCAATATTTACGTTTTTATATGAGAAAGTTTTTCGATTTATATATATATTTTTAAAAGATTACAAAAAGTAGAAAAAAAAGTTTAAATCGCTTTGCGCATATAAATTAGTACTATATATAATAATTTAATATTTGGTATCTGGATTTTTTATATACATATAGCTATAAATTTAAAAATTCAACGAATGTGCGAAAATAAATTAAGTTCCGACCTTGACTCCTATAATAAAGACGTTTGTCATCAACTTTAAACAAAAAAGGTTACAATAAAATTTTAAATTAATCAATTTACCTTATGCGTATGGCTCTTGCTGAACGTATTCCAAAAACGCAATGTTTCATCGCCAGCGCCAGTAACTACTGACTCTCCATCCGGAGACATAGACTGTGTAACAAAGAAATTTAACTTTAACTTTTTTTTACATTAATGGTATTAGTAATTAAATAAATGAGGTATTACCAAGTACAAAACTCGAAATGTGTGACCAGTAAGCTTTGCGACTTGGGTCAAGCTTGGATATCTCCACACCAGAACTTGATTTTGTGAATAGCCGTGGGTACTCACCTAATTTTAATTTAAAGTTTAAAAAAAAAGTTCAAATAAAAATATGAAAAACCTAATAACATAACTTTAAAAAATAACTGACCAACTCATTTGAATGCTTGGACCAAGCCAAGTTGCAAACCTAAATATTAAAGTAACCACAAAATTTAATTCACTTATTTACTTTTATAATTATAATAAACAGTTTTATAAATTATTGTTTATAATAAATTAAAAAAAGTAAATAAATGAATTAAGTCTTAATTAAAAAAGATGGGTTATACTTATATATATATTTAAAATTTTAAAAAGAGAGGGCATGGAATTTTTTTTTTTTAATATATCACGATGTTAAAAGATATTAAAAGCTTTTTTTTTAATGTCTTATGGGACTCACGGCTTTTGAAAAATGTTAATTTATAAAAATTTATTTTATAAATATATAAAAATGTTTCCATAATTCATAGCGAACGAGAATTCAAATGAGAAAAAACAAAAAATATTTAGAAATAATACAGATACAAAAATTCAACATAAATTTTCAATAATGTAATTCTTAGAGCTTTAAATGGACAGTAAAATTAAGAAAAATGTTTCATAATTTTTTTTTTTTTTAATTATTTAAAAAGAAAAAAAATTATAAGTTGAAGAACAGCTGAATTTCGATATTTTCATAACAAATTTTAACTTTTTTTTTTATATAAAAATTAATAAAAACTAGTTATAAGATTTTGCAGCATTCCCCCAATTAAATACTATTTAAAAACTTTGGCATATAAAATTCGCCGAATGGTCACACACGAGCAGTGAACGCCTGAGGGAAAAAATCAAGTACATTAGAATAAAGGAGAATTATTTATTAGACAAAGCATATTTTGACAGTTGTCAAGACAAAAATAAAGATTAATTAGAGGAATATTTAAAAATAAATAAGACAGGCTATACACCCACAACAATAATAACAATAACAATAAATTTAAAAAAAAATTAAAAAAATTGTTTTATAAACACCAATATGAACGAAGATATATATCACCAAACAAAAAACGGATCACAAAATAAAAAATTGGATAACAAGGCATTTAATAATGGAAAAAAAACATTAATGCTAATGTGTAAACATAATTTGTGTAGTGATTAAGTAATAAACATCTCCTCAGAGTCGCGTCTATTATTACTGGCGTTTCGATGAGGATCAGCATTTATAACTAGTTTATCCCGTCAGACAAACGTCATCGCCACTTATGCTTTACCCCGCAACTTACGCCTATTCCAAACTGCAGTAAAAAGGGACTCACTACAAATAGCCAAAACCCAACCAACCCCAAATTTGTAAAGCAACAATTTCATAAATTTATTTTAAGAAATAAAACCAAATAAGTATTATTATCAGAAAACAGTATACCTCATTAGAAAAAAATATTATATCAACAAAACAACAATAGCCTTAAATAAACTCTAACGCTTTCATAGATACCTCATTCGAAATATGACAACCAATCAAAAGTGTAGGAAAATGAGCAGCCCGCGAAACCCATAATCATAACAATAATTGAAAAATATATGATAGCGAAAAAGAACGTTGCACAAAAGCCTTAAAAATGTAAGCGGGATATATGTAAACATTTAATGAAGGATATAAAAATATTCTCTGAATAATAATAAAGATGAAAAATGTGCATGTGAAAATTAAAACAAAGCTGAGCAATGAATAAAACAAACAGTAATAATATGAAAATCAGAAGATAAATAATTTATCAACAAACACTGCAACAAGACTAACTAAATTTTGCAATAAAACCAGATAATTTTAAGCCAAATGAGTGGTTAAAAAAACTAGCCGTGGATAATATAACAACGATATAAACCTTAATGTAAAAATGATGTACAAAGCAGGAAAAAAATTATTAAAAAGCGATGTCCTCTCTACGGTCCGAACTAAAAGAAAATTTCCAAAAAGTAATATTTCCTCTACGGTCTGAATTAAAAGTTATTTTGAGACCATATCTAAATCGAAATTTCCGAAAAGTAAAGTTTGCTCAACGGTCCAAATTAAATGTAATTTTGAGACCATAACAAAATAACAAGGAAAAACATACATCATAAAAACATGTCGAAAGCCGCTAGTTTATAAGAATCGCTCTTATATTTATATACACATATATATATATATATATATATATATATATATATATATATATATATATATATATATATATATATATATATATATATATACATATGAATCCTTAAATGAAAAACTCAATCACACATTATAAACACATATAGATAACATACAAATCTATATCAACATTTCAACCACTTATTATCTATTAAAAGAAAATATTATTTAAATTAGGATGAGTTCAAACAAAGATAGTTTATCAATGAAAGAACAAAAAGCATGCAAACAATGTAAACAGGCTGTATGTTAATTTATATAAGAATTTATACTTAGACATTTTAAATAAAAGTTTAAAAAGTTGTTAAAAAACATTCTTTTTTTAAAAGTTACTCAAAGACCCATGAACAGTTATAGGATCCCTAATATTTTGAAAAAAAAAATTTTTTTAAAGTAATTCAACCTGGTACTCAAAAGAAGCGATATTGAATAAAAATCATAAATAATAGGTGTTATGTATGCAAAAACATATTAAAAACAAAAATATAAAAAAACTGAAAAAATGCACCTTTTTTAACTTTTAGATAAAAAGCCATATTTTTTATGCAAAAGAACCTTTTTATGAAAAAATTATTCTATTTGAAAATCATATTATATAATGAGAAACTTAATAATAGTATTAATGCCCATTCGTGCTTGTTTGCACAGAACTTGCGGCACCATTTAACCGAAGTTAATGGTGAGAAAGAGTCACAGCACTTTTTTTAATAAGAAGATGTGAATGAAAGTGTATGCAAATATCTAACTTATGTAAATTTCAAGTTATGTAATATTGAAATATCAAGTTTTACAGTTTTACTTTTACTTGAAAGTTGCAACAACATCTCCTTAATTTTGATTTATAGCATTTATTTGCTGTTTTATAAAGTCTTTTGTTTATTAAATAGTGTTAAAATAAGGCTGGAGCATTACACCTTAATAGCTGAAGCCGTTAGCTCACAGCTAGGGATGCGGAGTCCCAAAAAGGACTCTAGATTTGAAAGTCACAAAAAGATTACTTATTTCTAGTTTTTGTATCCAGGAGCTTTAAAAATATAGAAAAGCTTTTGGGCTACTAATAGGAAAAAAATCAAGACTTATAGGTCAAAAGAACAATCAATTTTTGAACTCGGAGTCCTTAGGTATAATGGCAGCAAGGACTTTGGGACTCCAGAACTCCAGGCCTAAAAACAATAAGTTCCAAGTCATTAAATATCATAAATTTTTTTCTTATAGCAGATCATTAATTAACCAGCATGTCTAGAGCTTCTGGACACCAGAGACCATAAAAAAAAAAAGTTATAAAGCAGGAGTCTCTGGGACTCCCTGCTCATAGCATTTCTGAAGTGCATAGCCGTGGTTCAAATCTTGACGCTTGAAAATTTTTTTTTTAATCTTTTTTGATTGTTTAAAATAAAACATTTTTGAAGTTCTATAGATATATACATAACACATAAAGATTTTATAAACTATAACAAACAAAAAAAAGAAAATTTTTAAAAAAGCTTACTTCTATTTTAAAACGTCAAAACATCAGTAGAAACTTTATGCACATTTGTCATGATAGAGATACTTTAGATGTTTTTAATGTGCTCAGGTTAATAGTCCTAATAATCTTGCTACTCCAAAAGGTACTGCTGTGGAGGCAAAAAAAAAAAGACCCGTATTTTTATTGTCCAGGTCAGCTAGTTTTTATGCAATTTTGTTTCTTTTGAGTACCAGGTTTACTTACTTTTGAAAATCAAAACATTAGGGATCATGTAATTATTCTAGGGTCTTGGGGGCAACTATAAAAATATTTTTTATTTAAAACTTTTTTATTTCTGGTGTTATTTTATTATAAAGAATACATTTAGAGGTATTAAAAAGTAATTTTTGAAAATAGTTGTTTTTCGGCCCACCCTAATTTAAATGTGTTATGGTTGTCTATTTAAAGCCTATGTGATGTGTACAACTCTAATTGCCTTCTACCGTCATGGCCTTAAGTTTAAATCCACTAAAAAATTTGGTAAAAATAACAAATAATATACTTTAAATATATAATATTCAGGCTAAATCAATAAATTGGTATTTTAGTAAGAATCAGGGAATACTTCATTTATATTTTATTACTGGGATTCCCATTACTCTCGATTTTGTAATAAAAATGTGAAAATTACTTTATAATTATATCTTGCACAGTGCAGATCTATTTGAACAGCTAAAAAGTGTAAACAGTTTTTCTTGTAAAAAAATTACAATTTACATTACTATTCTTCAATATTAAACTATTCTTGTTGAATAATATTTTTCATTGAGAAAATAGGGAAACAATATAAACTAAGTGAAGTAATATGAGGGCAGATTATACTTTGGT